GTATTTGAGGTTCCAGTTGGCTGCTGTAATTCCCCAAAGCTCCATTTCTTAATAGTTGTGGTATCATAAATATACATTGGAGGGTACATATTAGAACATGCTGTTGTCACCAACCCATCATGAGGATATGCACTCGGGAATTTTCTATCTGGAGTGATAAATTTATATAGATCTATTACCATATTCATTCTGGTCTTCCAAGTGTCTAAGTAACCTGTATTATTTAGAAGGATATCTCAATTTCTGGTATAATCTGCAGAGGTTAAATAGAATAAAGTCAAACAGCTGACTTGGGTATTGAACCTGTGATCAACTTTGCTTTTAGTTATAACAACGAGGTCATTTACATCATCTAAGGGCCTACCCCTGCAGTGTTTATCCCCCGGTCAATATATCTAGGATTTCTACCATTGAAGATGTTCCTTTAGAGTAAGGACTCTAGAACAAAAAACAAATGCCTAACATAAAAGAGACCAGTAGGAAATTATCAAAATTTGGTAGTATGAATTAATCCATTAGACTATTAGCAAAGCAAGCATTAATTAGAGAAAATTGGGATCAAAGAAAAGTGTCATGAGGAGGAATTAAAGGTTTATAATATGAGCCAGTGTTCTTGGTGATGAGGTGGTAGGCTGAGCACATGGATGACAATGGCACCCATGGCATAATTGTACCGAGTGTAGACATCTGATGTCACATTGGCACTCTCATGGTGTGTACACTTAAATGAAATACAGAAGTGCACATGCTTTGGTACATATGCTTATGATGGGGGAATACATGCACACTTTTTTGGTGATACTGGGTCTGAACTCAGGGCCTCCTGCTTGCTAGGCAGGGGCTCTATCATTTGCGCCTCACCTCCAAGCCTGTGAGAGGTACTTTTCAAACTTATAAGATAATGTTCTTGGTGCAAAACTAGGTAACCTGTGTGCACCTCTTCACCAGATGAATATTCAAAGAAATAAATTAATAAAGTAATTTTCATACCAAAATGAACATTTTGTATTTCATATAATCTTAATCTAAAATCTTAATAAATCTAGAATTTACAAGAGATTCTTATGATGGGAATAGCAATTAGGTTTTAGATACTATATTATTCTTTGCATAATGGTGGTGGAATTGTACTTTCTTTATAAATGAAGACCGCTGATGTGGCTTATTCCTAGAGAACCCCCTCCCACTCTTGGACCTTCTCTGCACATGCAGACAAAGTTCGCAGATATTTGAATAGTAAGTGTTTATAACAGATTTTGTGTTTTATTAATTGAATAAGTGATTGATAATATTCCTAAAATATGAAAGTAATTATGATAAAGCAATTCATCTTAAAGGTACTTTGTTTTTGTGGGGCTGGGAACTTGGCTCATGTGGTAGAATGTTTGCCTAGCAAGTGTGAGGCCCTGATTTCAAATCCCAGTACCATCAGAAAAGGTACTTTGTTTTGAAATCAATCACATGAAACATTCAAATTAACTTTAGAAAGTCAGTTTGTAAAAATAGACAAAAATACCTAAAGTTGTTTTATTGTGTCTAGTCTTCAACCTTTTGTACTTGGCAGATGCTCAATAAATATTTATTGAATGTTCCCCACAAAATGTAGAAACCTGAGAGCATTACTGTGACACAGTCCTGTAGGTCAGGCAAGAGATGTATTTACTTGAATTTTCTGAATGCCTTCATTCTTTCTTCAATGTTCTTTGTTTGTGATTAAGGTACAGATGGCACAGTATAAATTCTTTAAAAAAAAGAACATTAGGCCACGATGACATGAAAAATGCAGCTCTATTCAAAGGACAACTTGAAAAACACTTGCAACTAAAGCTGTTAACAGAAGAGACCCAAAGCCTCATTCTGCTTATCGTGGAGGGGTCCCGTGTTGGCAACTGAGAACCTTTATCTTATGTAGAGATTACCAAACTTGGCACGTGATATTAACCATGACGCTAGTTATGCTTTATGCTACTCTGCTTACACAGGTGCAAAAATACATGACGACAGAATTGCTTTCACTCAATCAATCACCCTCTGAATGGAGAGTGTAGCATTTTTCTTCCATGTTTACTCTGAAAAAACCAGCAATTTAGTTGATTGTGAGTGCAAAGTTCATAGAAATCCAATTCTTAGCCATGGATAATGTCATTGATTATTGTTGGATTTCAAAAACTTGTAAGTCTAAACTTAAAGGTTTTTTTTCTAAGAAACTTATTCTGTGAGCTCAGTTAGAAACTGGTTGATATTCTTTGTTTATGGCATGAATTCCTATGTAGAATTCTTGGTGTGAATTCATCATCAAAGGACAAAATGCTGTATAGGGGAAAGTACTGCTTTCTCATTTGTTTGCTTTTATTAAAAACAAAGTTTTCAGGGGCTGGGAGCATGGCTCTAGTGGTACAGAGCCTGTCTAATGAGCAGGTGAGGCCCTGAGTTCAAACCCCAGTACTGCCAAAAATAAATAAATAACAAAAAATAAATAAGTACCCTATGTATTTTAAAACAATTTGCATATAGCATTCATTTCTATTTATTAACCCTAGTTCTTCTACATGTTTAAATTTCTAGATTGAATTGCTAAAAGAATAATTTTTTTGGTGGTACTGAGGCTTGAACTCAGGGCCTCAGACTTGCTAGGCAGGTGCTCTACCACCTGAGCCACTCCGCCAGCACTAAAAGAATAATTTTTTTATTCAAAATATGAATCTGCAACTTTAGAGCATGCTTCACAAGCTTTTCTCACATAGTCTAAATTATCCAATTTAAGTCATATCTTGTCTCAATTTCAGATTAGAGCTAAAAAAAAAGGTCCTTATTAAATCTGAACTCAGGCAACTCATTATGTACATATAAAATATAATATTAAGGGAAATTTTAGATGTATGATGTCTAATATACAATGAGCATTAATGTGTAATTTAATGTCCAATGTGCACTTTTCTCATGAGTCTTTCTTTCTTCCTCACTTTATTCTCTTTTCAGCACAGTACACCTATCACACACTATGCTTCCGCAGCTTCAAAGATGCTGTTTCACTTTGCCTGGATGATGCTACAGACTCACTGGAAGTTGTGTAACTGTTTAGGGGGACAAGGGGACCCTTTAGGGATTCAGTGCTTCTTAAATAGTTTCCACTCAGTCCTTCCTCGGGGTAGCCTCACATTTATTCTCTGGCCCATAAGTGCCTGGTCTTTCAATTCCTGTACTGTTTCAAGATTCTAGAGAGTAAATAAGGTTGGTTTTCAGTTTTCTCCATTGCTACTTTGAGTTTTAACTTTCTCAGGTTTTCTAAGCCAGTCAACATTAATTTGGTCCCTAATTTTTAAATCTTTAAGTTTGCCAGAGCAAAATTTTTAAAAATAACCTTTGCACAAAAATGTAAGCATTTTGGATACATTCATATCTTTGATCTCAACAGTTTCTTATTTTATTTTTTTAATAGCTTTGTTAATGAATTTATGTTTTGGTGCAAAGGTTGTAAACTTAAATGCTTATGGGGACCAAGCAGTTTTGGGTCCTCCCACTGGATCAAGGACAAGTCAAAGTCAGAAATAATAAGATTAAGCTTGGGAGAATGGCAGAGCAATAAACTGGTGTCTCGTATTGGACACTATGGGAGGAGGACTCATGCCTCTGGGTAATTGATAGCAGCTGCAGGAGGGTAGAGATCCCTATGTGATAAGATGGTGAGACTGAGATGGTTCCCATGTCCCCTGTTGCTGATTCTCTATGGCTTGAACTTTGAAGGGATGATTTCAGAAGTCCCTGTGTGTCTCAGGTGAGGAATATGGAAGGTAGGTAAGAGGTGCAAGTCAGGCACATTGCTCTGTAGACACCTTGGGTGAGAAGCAAGACAACTCCAAGTAGAGTCTCCATGGCAGACTTCCTGGGCCAGGAGCCAGAGGAAATTCATGTCTGGGATGGGGCAAAGGATTTCCTGACTCCTTGGAAAACTGAGCTGAGAGTTTGGAGGTGGTGGAGGAGTTGAGTCATTGCCTGGCCTCCAATTATGTTGAGAAAACAAACCACAGTGAAACCACAGAGTTCAACAGTGATACAAGGAGCATCCCAGGAGATCAGCAGTCCCTGCATACTTGGGAGACCCTCTAAATGGTCTCTTCCTGGAGATGTCATCTTGGGAAGGAGTTGGAGGCTATGCTGAATCACTGAGCACAGAGTAAATGCCCGGATGGACTGTGAACCTTCAATTCACCGAATGTTTATGTGAAAGAGAATTTCAACCATAAAGAGACTGTGTCAAAGCAAAATAACTTTCAATTAGAAAGAAGCCAAATTACCTTCATTGAGCAAATTTAATTTCCTTCCTATTAAGGTAGGAAATTTAGGAAAAGTACCCAACTGGGTCATGGGGAACAGTTAGCCTCCTGGTAGATCATCTCATGGAGAACATGTGGTCTTATTCCACCCAGAATTGCCATCCCTTTGAAATAGCATTTTCAACTGACCCCAAACTGGGGCATGTGTACAAGGACCCCTAATTGTGACTAAGGATTCCATGTCATTGAATTCACTTGTGCAATCACCAAAAGCCACTCCTAAGTACCACCCAAATCTCCTCCCCTTGCTCGCCCTTGCCATATATAAATGCCTATTCAAACCAAAGCACTGGCTTTCTTGAGTGACAGGTGCTGCTCTTCAGTCACCTCACTCAGAGCCTGCTCCCCCACCCTTCCTTGGGCAGTGTACTTTCCTGCTTTCATTCACTCTCTCCCACTCTCAATAAAACTCTGCGACTGCTTTGCATTCTGTGTCAACACTCAATTCTTTATCTGGATGCTAAGAGTCTTCTGAGACCATCCACCAGTGACACCACCAGCAGAAATTTTGGGCTCATAAGACAGATCGAGCTATGAAAATGAAAAAGGAACTTTTTAAAAAAATATGTTCAAATGTTAGTGTACATGCCAAGATAGGTTTGTCCCTCTCATTGAAATGTTGATTATAACCAAATTCATTGAGTGCCACTTCACCTGATATTGTAAAAATGTTTAATGTATTGATTATGTTTGTTGCATTAGTGGTATAGATGTTTGCATATGAAACTAGAGAAATCCTGGGAATTTCTCCCTGACATGCACTATGATAGTTAAAACAGACACAGACAACTGAAGGTTATGTTAGAATACAAGATTGTTATTTGGTATTCACTACAATTGCCAAAATCAACTTGTCAAGGAAAAACAACTAAACTCCCCCAAATGTCTTGATGTTTACACATTGGATGGCCATACTACATATGTAAATTGTGGAACATGGCATACAAAACCATTATTGCTTTAAATGCCGTTATTGCTATCCCCAAAGATAAGAAGAGTTGCAAAACATAGGTAAATGTATGTTTTTGACATAGGGCAGGCATTTCTCCCCATTCCTTCCCTCCATACAAATAAGACAAATGTCTAAAAGCCTTGGCTTTAAGATTTGGAGGCAACAGGGTGCACTCCTCCTGCACCATTCATCTGATGGGTTGGAAATGTGCGTGGGTGCATGCGTGCGTGAGGGCCGGACCTGCAAAGGACTTAAGCTTTGGGGTACAGAGTGACTGTGTCGTAGCCCTCTGGGGGCCTCGTGCGGGCTCTCGCGTGGGTTTCACAGTACAGCTCCCCCTCCACGAAGAAGTAGCCCTTTTGTTTGAGGTTGAGGTTGCAGTCGGCGCACACGAAGCACTCAGGGTGCCGGTACTTATCCCGCGCCTTCACCACCGCACCACTGTTGCGAAAAAAAGAAGTTCAAGTGAGAAACAGCTGAAAGTAAGACACAAGAGAAAACGCTGAACCTAAGGAAGGGGTCATCTCTTTCACAGTCAGCAAACAACAGCCTGCAGCTATAAAACTGTGGCAGTTGTGCAACTGAGTGCACATGCTAGGAGATGGAAGGAAACCACAATAAGCCAGCCCTGCTTCTCTCTGATGCTATGTGTGGATATTTTTTACATTCTCAAACAAGCAGTTTATCGAAAAATAGTAGGATCCTACCTCATGTCCCTTCCCCCCACCTCCCCCCTATTTCTCTCTAAGGTGGAGACATGATAAGGAAAAGACACATCCTGTAAAGGATTCTAACTTTGACCAAAGTTGTGGGTTGCATGGCTGAAACTCCCACCATGGGTCCAGCCTCTCTTCCACCATGTAGACACAATTCTCAATGGAGTGAGTTCACTGCCTCTACTGTGCAAGCAGCTTACTCCAGCTTAGGAGAAATAACTGCTTTCGGTGACATCATGAACTGTTGTAATAGTTTTGAGGTCCTCTCTGCTCTCAAACTTCCTGCCTCTCCCTCTCTCCATCTCTCCTTCCCTTCCTTGTTAGGACTAGGGATTAAACCCAGGGCCTTGTGCATGCTTGGCAAGCACTCTGACACTTGAGTCACTACCCCATCCCTTTAGTTTGTAGTTAGTTTTTGAGAAAGGGTCTCCCTAACTTTGCCTTGACTGGTCTCAAACTCTTGATCCTCCTGCTTCTGCATCCTGAGTGGCAGGGATTTTAGATGTGCACCATTGCAGTTGGCTGCTGTTTTTTCCTCCCTTCATCCTAACAAGGCTTATCCTCTAGTTCCTTCTTGAGATGCAGCCTGCATAACCAGACAGATGTTGCCTACTGAGGACAGTTGAGGCTTGAGCTCAGGAGAGGGGAGCAGAATAAGAAGTGACCACATGGGGCACATGCAATGGAGAGATTAAAATGATCATGGTCATGTGAAGATTTGAACTAGCAAGTGTGGTTATTTAAACATGAAGTGAGCCAGTCACTCACTTGGGAGGCTGAGAGTGGGAGGATCAAGATTCAAGGCTAGCCTGCGCAAATAGTTTGTGAGACCCCATCTCCAAAATAACAGAACAAAATGGACTGTAGGTGGGGCACAAGTGGCAGCACCTGCTTTATAAGCACAAAGCCTTATTGAGTTTGAAATCCTAGTCCCACATACACACAAAAAAAGAAGTCCCTTGAAATGGGAACTGACTGTATTTTTAAAATACAGCTGTGTATTTTAAGAAATTGGGTAAAGATAATGTATTTTAACTAACAACCTGATGACCCCTGAACTTTTGCCCTTGTATTATTCATTAACAAAGGAAGGGCTTTTTAAAGTGAAATTGTGATTCTTGGAAATTATTTTCATAAACACATTTGGAGCAATTTTTTTCATAATAGTATTTCTGAAAGTAAAGTCAATAGTGCTGATTTATGTTTTATGCCAATTTGGTGTTACAGCTAAGGAATGATCAAATGTGCTAAGTACTATGGACGTTATATTTCAAGTTGATGAATAGAAATTTTAGTTCTCATTATTGCTTTTTCTACGTAAAGTTAAAATGGAAAACTGCCAGCAAGATTTATGGGGAATTCCCGAGTTAAAATGAGACCTACACAATGCCACTCCCACACTTGTCACAGAGTGGCATCCTCTGGGCGCCACCAGCACCACTGTGAACTTTAGTAACTGGAGCCCTCACACTTCGAGTTCCAGCAGGACGGTCATCTGAAAAACAAAGTGTTTCCATTTAGGGCAAGGAACAGCTGGCCCCTGTTTGTACTTCCCTGCTATTTTAATGGGTGCACTTTAACCCGAGGAATTCTTAGGTTCCATCCGCACTCATTTCCAAGGAGCAGGACAGATCAGAGCAGAAGGGATTTAGTCTGCAACAGAGCCTTTCAAAACAGAATAGTTACACAGTTGTGTTATCGGAGGGATCTGTCACACATGCACAAAAGAGCAGGGGTAACTTTCTTTTTCTTTCTTGTGGAAAAATACTTAATATAAAATTTACTATTTTAATCACTTTTATATGCAACTCAGTGGCCTTAAGTACATCCTCAGTGTTGTACCCCCACCATCCATATCCTTTTCCAGAATTCTCTTCATCCCCAGACAGAAACTCTGTACCCACTGAACATTTGAGTGACTCTGTTCCTTCCTCCTCATAGCCCCTGACAACCTTTATTCTACTTTGTCACTAAGAACTTGTCTGTTCTAGATGTCTCATTTAAGTAGAATCAGATAATATTTATCCTTTGCATTTGATTTCTTTCATTTAGCATGTTTTCAAGGTTCATCATATTGCAGCATGTATCAGAATTTTATTCCATTTTAATGCCAAATAATTTTCTATCATAAATACATACCACATTTTGTTTATCCACTCACCTGTTGTGGACATTTGAGATTTTTCCCACCTTTTGGCTCTTTTGAATAATGTGACCATTGGTGTGTGAGTATCTACTTGAGTTCCTGGGGTGTATACAGGAGTGGAATTGCCAGTTCATCTGTTAATTCTGTTTAGCTTTTTGAAGAACAACCATTTTATTTTCCATTATGGCTGTACCATTTTACATCAGCAGCAGCAATGCACAAAGGTTCCCCTCATCTTCACCAGTACTTATTTCCTTTTTTTTTTTTTTGCTAGTACTCATCTTAATGGGACATTTTGCTTTTTTGTGTGGGGTGCAAAAGCACAAGTTAAAGTACAAGCCAGAGGACAGAAGGAGTGGGTTAGAGGCTCAGCTCTTGCATTTATTGGTTCTGTGACCTTGTACAAGTCCAACCTCCCAGTGCCTCAGTTTCTCATTAAATAAGGCAAATAAAAGCTCCTACCTCACTGTTATTGTGAAGATTAAGTGATAATGTATGCAAGGTACTTTGCATACAATGCAGAGCATAGTAAGGATGCATTATGATTTTTTTTAACTTCCATGTTGTTAACAGCCTAAAATGTGGGGGAAACTGAGTTTTACCATATCTATTTAAAATTGGATCTGATGATTCCTAATCTGATGACCATGGATGGAATTTGTCTTTGATGGCTTTTATGACTGGTTTAATTTCATGGATATTTGGACATGTCCTGAAAACTCTTTCCCTGAACAAGGCCCACACAAATCCTTTTAAGCAAAATTTCACTTGATTGTGAATAAAACCAACATCTAGACTTGCATCCCAGTGTATTGCTCTACTCTGCTTCCCCACACTTTCAGTGGTTTCTATCAATAATGGTTCAGCAGATGTTAATGGCTGCTCACCAGGGCCATCGTTCACTAATTCCTGGAGTACTCTGAAGGAGCCAGACTGGCGAGGCTGAGTAGGTTCATCACGATTGTCATGGAGCATTCGGTACACATCCGACTGGGGGGGCACGGAGGCTGTGGGTTCACTGAAACACAAGTCAAACAAGTGAAGCATTGTCAGGAGGACTGTGAGGCAACAGACATCAAAAAGCAGTCACCACTCTGTTTACCACTGAACAGGGCTTCACTTTCAAGTAAATTAAACCTCAATTATAATTAGAAATGCAGTATGAATTCCCATGGGTTGCCTTAAAATGTCACTGAGCGATAAAACTGGGAGTCACCTTAACACTTCTCCATTTGGCAAAACTCTTTGGAGGAAAATGAAAGGTGACTATTAGGAAATGTTAACTGAAGAAAGCACATGTTGTGAGTGATGGATATATCATTATAAAAGTGAACAGAATTGCTTTTTCTCTAAAATATGACAACATAATAGTTCATTTCTACATCTGATAAATTCATTACCTTATACTTTAAAATAGCTACAACTCATTTACAATAATGACAGCAGTTTTATTTTAATGTGGTTTTACAAATATATTCATGATGAATAATTTTTTAAAATGCCATTTTCAGGCATTAAATACTTTATTACTTATGCCTCTTAACTGCATTGCCTAGAAAAGATAGTTGTTATCCACACATATTTTAATTTACCTATATTATATTTGAAAATAATCACCTTATATATAAGAAATTCTTCACAAAATGACTGATATATTAATTCAATGTATTCATCCTAAAATATCTGAAATATTGTTACATAGTACCCTTAATCATCACAATAATTTATAAAAAGTGATTTTGCAATATTGAAAGAAGTAAGAAGATTTTATTCTATCATAAATCTTTTTAATTGAAAAAATTTGGTGGCAAAACTACTTGGAACAAATATTCCTAATAAAGAAGAAATTAGTCAAAATAAAGACCTGAGATATTTACTTATAAAACTTAATGCAAAGGAAATATTTTAAATGGAGAAATAGTTTACCCCTCTACACAGTAACATTAGAGAGAAGTGACATTATCTCATACAAATCCTCTGATTCTCCCACCCCTTTCCTGGTTTTTGACCCCCAAAGACAGATGTAGGTACTAGATTGTAAACCACTTTTCAGAAGTACCAAATCAGACATTTGTAAAGTCCACTGTAGCTTTCAAAAGACATAAACATTAGGTTCTTACATGAAATCATTTATTGCTATCAGCCACATTTTCTCCTTAGATAATTCCTCAAATCACCTTTATTATCAGGCTTAGATACTTGCAATAAACCCAAGATAGTTTTTCTTCAAAGCTTTTTACATAGCTTTCTTTCCATTAAGACAATGTTAAAAGACACATTAAAGTTGACATTGCCCATGTGTTTAGTTAATATTCCCATGGTTCAAAAAGATTCATATTACCTCATTGAGGGTGTTTCCCCTAGAGCTGTTGAAACCTGACCCTGAAGTGTTTCCATAATATTGTCATCTGAGTACAACTGCATAGGTGTATTAAACTGAGCATGTACAATCTTCACCCCAGGAAGTTCCATTTCCAGGGGAATGTTAGGGGCCATCTTAGCAGCAACTTTCAAGTCACCTGGGCAAATCGTACTAAGAGTACTGACAGAAGAAGGGGTGCTACGTCCACTGCCACAGTCAATACCGGAGGGAGTACTGCATCCACTGTGTTAATCACCACGTTAACAGAGATGACACAAGGAACCAGAAGAACACAGAGAACAAGTGCAGATTGGTTAAAAGGAATTGAAGATAAGAAGTGAGAGGTGAATTATATAATACTAAAACACTGGCTAGAATTTACTTTAAAAGAAGACAATGTTGAAAAACTCACAATTGAAGAAAGTTTAAGAAACTGAAAGATGCAGGTGATATTACATTTGTTGGCTCTGTTCTACTTGGTGATTTGTAAGTTGAGGGCTAATGAAGAAAGAATTGTATGTAATGTAGAAAAGACACTGCTATCTTCTCTTTTTAAAAGTAGGCCACACAATTTTATACCTGACAGTATCACCGATGAGTGATGGACATCCTTTCATATTTTTGAGTTCCAACATTCAAAATTAAAATACTAAAATATTAATGAATAATCCTTCATAATCAAAGATTTAGTCTAAACATTTCAAAATAGACAGTATGTTTTAGTAATTTAGTTGAACTTTAATTGAATAGTAATTGGAAACTTGTAGGTTCTAAGATAAAAATTATGCTTTAAGGCTATTTTATAAATATTTTATTGCTACTATTTCAATATTTTATAATTTTATAACTTTGTGAAACTGTTCTATAGCTTAGTACAAGATCCAGAAATAGCCAATAAATGCTTGTCACCTTGCAGTTAATGATTAGAAGACAAATTAAGTTTGTTTTAGACTTTGGATGCTACCCTAAGGCTAAGATATATTTCTTTTATGCATAGGTATTTCATATAAAATTTTGGAAGCATGCATATATTTCCATGCATATTTCTCATTTCCTTTAAAAGACAAACTATATGGATTTATTATTAAAACACCACAAGGATCATTCATGCAAATTTAAGAATTAGGGAGATTTCATACACTTTGTGAAACTGAAGGCCAGTCACAAGTGAACATTTTCCTGCATGCATTTTATTTATTTATGAAGTTTTGACACTGAGAACTGAACCCATGGCCTCATACATGCTAAGCACACACTTTACCACTGAGCTACACACTCAGCCCTCTACATGCATGTGAATGGAATATACTAAATTATTTTTAAAAGTCATTTAAGACAAAGTAAAGTATTAGTATTAATGTAAATCTCTATCATGTCTGCCATGATAGAGATGCTGTCAACTTAAGACTTACATGGTATGTTTGACTCAGAGTCTCAGCTCTCATGTATGGCTCCCAACACTAGGGCATTACTTTTTAGGACCACTAATGTTAATATCAGTTCCAGATAGAATAGCAAAACTTAAAAGGATATTGGCAATTATTTTTAATTTTATCACTTTTGCAGCCTGATTAGTCTGAACAACTCTTATCACTAATGATTTTTTTTAAAAAAATTTATTTATTTATTTATTTATTTTTGTGGTACTGTGTATTGAATCCAGGACCTTGCTCATGCTTGGCAAATGCTCTCTCTCTTGAGCCAGGCCTCCAGTCCTTGTTGTTTTTGTATTTGTTTCTAAGATAAGGTCCTGATAACTTTTCCTGGGCTGGCCTTGATCCTCAATCCTTTGATCTGTCTGTTTCTGAAGTAGTTGGGATTACAGGTATGCACCACAATGCCCAGCTCACAAAATAAATAAAAGTTTGTATCTTGTATTATCCAACTGAACTACCTATACAGTCAAAATAGTAGGCTTGCTCCTTTACTTGTTGGCTATTCAGAATCTGTTTAAAACTTAGTCCATACACTGGTTGGATCACATATCAAAATTGCAAGTGGCCTTATTTGCCATTTTCATAGGCTCAACACTTGTTCCTGAAATTGAATTTAGCTGATAAAAGAAAAGAAGTAAATTTTCAGTGGTAGAGCAGTTTAGTTTGGATCATATTGATTTGACCTAACTGTAATGAAAGTCATGAAATTGTAGGTTAGGAATTTGTAACACTGAGTTAAATCTTGAGAGTCTTTGGGCTCTACACAGTTAACCTATTTAGCAAGCATTTAGAACTTCTCCTGACCCGCTGTGTGCCAGGCTCAGTTCTGGATTCAGGATAAACCTACCACCAATTGAAACTTACACATATGTATGATTTTGTTGTTTTAATTAATAACCATTTTTATTAGTGTTCTTGTGTAATCAACATGTGTGAACATGCAATTTTAGTTAAGCAAGGATTGTGTCTTCTATTTCCTACTTTCTTTGTCATATCACTTACAGTCCTATGTCTGTTAAATGGACAAGAAATGAACCCATGGCCAATAGAATGACCTTTTGTAAATTTCTGGGACAATGTTAAAATATCTCTTGAATTGTGACCTTAAATAAAGCAGTTCTCATGGACTCCATACACTGTGGCAATCCTTATGGGATACCACCACTTATTCCTGTTGACTGGGAATTGCAGGTGCTTGTGAGATCTCCTGACGTGGGCTGAGTGATGTGGTAAGACCACCTGGAAGACTGGCGATGCCCTCAACTACTTCACACCCAAGTGAGTCATTTGACAGAGAGATAATTCCTCTGGGAGTGTGTACAGACTTGGGGAATTCTTCTGGACACAACTTGTCCAAAAACCACTCACAAAGACTTCAGCATTTGGATCTATCAAATACTGTGTATGTATTTTTAGCTATAGCTTTGGCTTTAAAATTTTATGCATTTGCATATAAAAACACTGGTGTTTTAAAATGATTCAGCTATGATGAAGTAATTAAAGGAACCAGAGCTAGAAGTAAAACTCCAGAGAAACTGACATATTACAAATTTAGCATGTTCACTTTGCTTCTGATTAAATGAGTTGTTCAAGTAGGAACTTGGTACATCACCTCTCAAAATTAACCTTGATGAGAAAACTGTTGGAAGAGAATTCAAAGTTCAGAAGTTAGAGCAAATGGTGAGGGGGCACAGGAGGAAAGGAAGGATGGGACAGGCATCCTTACAATTCTTTAAGATTTGTGCACTGGCACCTGTTTTTTAAGCAAATCTTCTCATTCCTGTTCCTCTCCTCTCCCCTTCTAAATTTAGCTTTAGTAACATCAAAAGAGAAAAGAGAAACTTATGAATGGCCTGTCCTTATCACCATGTTAAAATTAAAAAGAAAAAAACGAAAGAAAGGATGAGATACCTAGGTCTCTCTGACTTTCTCTATACTTTTATAAAATTAAATGTGTTATAGGTCTTTAGTAAAGGATATACGATCATTTTATTTAAGCTTCCTGGGGTCAATGTAGCTGGAGTTAGTGGACTTAGAGTAATGCTAACCTCAAAAGAATGTAAGCATGTTGATTATACTATGCTTCTTTGGAAGTTGTATATATATATATTCCACAGTAAAATAGCATTTTAACTTTTAATACAGGGTTGCTACATTATTGACGGTGGGATGGTGTAGGGAAGCTATTGAAAGTAGAGAACCAGGGAAAAGCTGCAGAGGGAAGCTGAACAAGGAAATAAACACATAGAAGTCAAAAAGTATGGGCAGAGTAGCAAGGGGAAGGAGACAGAAGAGCTCCAGATTCTTCTTGCCACACACTCAGCTAATACGGTTGTGTACTCTTAGGATTTTATCCCTTTATCAAATGTGCATTGCTGAGCATTTATTTTTGTGCTCCAGCCTCATTTCTAGGTGCAAGGGATGTAATGTCGAGCCAGTGAGTCAAGGCCCCAGCAGATAAAAAGCTCACAAGGCAGGGAGGAAGATCATATGGTAGTCATCACCTTCTCAGTATATTCCTCCCGCGCCTCCACTCCAGTACTGATACCACAAGAACTGTCTGGTGACATTTTGAGAGAATCTTCTGGAATGGCCTCTAGCTTATTGAAAGATCTGCACTTGGAAGTCATGTACCAAGTAATGACTCACCACCCACACAGGAGTCATAAGCTCTTCAGGGGTGGGAGAGTCGCACAGATATGAAAATGGGCCAGGTGGCATGCACTTGACAGTGATACTCATTTTGATAAGCTGGTGAGTAGATGTCTCATTTAAAGCACTTAAATAAAATTCTTTCTTTTTTGAGTTACAGGAGGGTTAATGAATGAATCATGAAATGAATTGTAAGAGCCACCAGTATAACACTTGAGGAAAATCACTATTCAGTGTTCCTAACCCAGTAGGATCAATCTATTCTAATCACCAACTTCCTTCCTCTGGGCTGACTAACTTAGGTTAGAGCAATGGGTTTGAGGTTTCTTTTCCCTTAGATTGATGTTCAATTTCTAGAGAAGATACTTGAAAAGGATCATCTAGCTATGGTCAATTTCTCTGAAGATAGACAAGAATTTAGATCTTGGGTAGTGTTACTCCAATTTGTTTTGGAAAATGTATCATCTATGAGAGAGTCGCTCCCTTCTCCACCCCTACTTTATACTTGTTTTTTGCCCAAGTAGAAGAATGACTTTTTAAGGGACTCTTTTTTTTTTGATTAGGCAAGTGCTCTGCCACTTGAGCCATACCCCCAGTTTTTTCACTTTTAGTTTGCTTTTCAGATATGGTCTTGTACTTACTTTGACTGAACTGACCTCAGACTTTAGTCCTCCTACCTCCACATCCCAAGTAGCTGGGATTATAAGTCTGAGCCACCATGCCTGGCCCTAAAAATTTATTCTTTATGGAAGGGCTACAGTTAGTGAGGTTTGTAAGGTGCAATGAGAAGCAGGTACTGAGGTGGGATGACCAGAGTCTGTCAAAGGTACAAAGCTACCCCAGCTTTCCCATGTGTGCCAGTCAGCTTCCTTAGGTCTGACTGGTTTCCATTTTTGTCCCTGCTGGCTGGGCTTTCCTGACCAGGGACAAGAATGCCTATCTGACTCATAGGTCACTGTGTTCTGGATGGGATCCCAGAGCCACAGGGGCACTAGTTATAAATACACATGGTGGCCGCATAAAATTTCACAGCTCTGTTATCCTGTCAATATTTACTCTCAGAAATGGACACTGTTTGGATACTCTTCTCTGCTAGGTGTGTGTGTTTCTTTTTGCTTTTGAAATGAGTTCCACGATGAGAAAAGTCACTCCAAACATCTAAAAGCTGTTACTTTTGGGGTGATTAGTAAGAATGGATTAAAGAAGCATGCACATCAAACTTCACAATCTCAGAGTTTATGACCTGCTTCGGCCTGGGATTATGAAAGGTTTGGGCCGAATATTGTGCTTGTGTTCAAAGTAGTTCACATCCTGTAAAAACAAAGGGTTAAAAAAGTCCCTCAGTGGAAGATATCTTTTCGGTCAGATTAAATGAATGATAATTGTACAGAGAGGATTACTGACCACCAAATATTAATATGACTAAGAAATGTGTTGATGAAACCAGAGGAATTTCTTCTTTTTAACTGTCTTTTCACTACATGGTTAGGACCTGGCTGATTCCGCTCCAGAACAATTCAAACCATGTCCTAATGTTTGTTTTTAAAGCAAAACACCTGACAGTGCCTTTAGAAAAGCAAAAAGAAAACAGCAAGAGCTGGACTTTGGAAAGGAATGGAAACCATATCACCACTGTTAAGAGCACCAGGAGGAGATCTGAGAATCCAGTACTTACTTTTGAGGTGAGCTAGGAATGAGACCCCGCAGCTGTCCGTGAAGTGCATCTTGGATATTGCTAGTTGAATAGAGCCCAATTGGTGAGTTATAGGACGCACTCACTACCTGTCTTTTGTCATCAATGTTTGCTGCGGCAACAAAAGGTTGGGCCCTTCTGTTGTGCGTGGTCCCAATGGGTTTGAATTCCTGTACATGGCAGACAAAATACTCAGCCACACAATGTACAACAAAGCAGTTAGTGAGCAAAACGAACAGCATTGCTGTTGTTAATAAACGCAGCTTTACCTGCAACGAAATGAACAGCAAGCTAAGGCAAGGGGAGGGACAAATCTTCCTACCATTTCTCTGAAATTTACATGTGCCATATTCAGCTACCAAATGTTGTCATGCAGAGGTATTGACCTTATTTAAAATATTATAAGATAGTTCAAAAATCGGATGTTGTTCTGCTTCCTGCTGACTTTATCTACTACTTTCAAGAAATTCTAACAACTCATTTGAGTACTCAAACTTTGTGTCAGAAATAAGATTTTTGGTTTAGAAAAATTATTACATTTAACATTTGCTCAAGTAGAAATCACTTATGCTTTCTATTCTGTTAATAGCTTTTAAATTTCCTTTGGTGGTGGTGCTGGGGATGGAACTCGGTTTCACGCATATGAGGCAAGCTTGCTACCATAGTATCTTAATTAATTTCCTCCATTTTAAGAGGGGAAAATAAAATAGTCAGAAGGGAATGAGCACTATGAATAACTATTCTGAATCATTTTAACTGTGCTAGGCAAAAATTCTGTTTTAAAAGTATCTATAACAAAAAACAAATTGATAATTGAATTAAACTATATACTTTAAAAAAACCAATAAGAATGAAAAGCCTTCTTATGAAAGCAGAAGTGACCTATATTAAAATCACCAACATTTATTGTGATGATTTCATGTTTAAAAAGCTCTCAGTGTTTACTCTAATTACAGATAGACTAATGTCAATAAGTCAGAAACAGTATATGTGATTCAAAGGAGGTTTTTACTTTATCACTTGGAGAATAGGACCACACAGTAGAGTCCTAAATCCTGAGTTTGAAATATACCTGAATAATATGAAACCCTATATTATTATCTTTAAATGTAAGAATAGTGTTTTCTAGTTTTGGATAAATGCATAATTTTGTAAAGCTATTAATTTGTGTGTGTGTTCTAGAAAGCAGAAGAAACCAAAAGGGGAATACTAAAATACATGTGATCCGATTCTCTTCCCAAACCTTTCTATATGGCACCAATAGTAAGATTAATCTTTGTAAACAGCATTTTCACCTACACATTCACATCAACCTCATTCACTTTTGTGAATGTGCCACCAGTGTTGAACACAGATTTGAAATAGTACAGACATGAATAAATACTGGAGATATTACTGAAAAGATCATTTTCATTAAAAATTATCATAATGTAACATTGGGTTGACATTACTTTTTCTTCTTGTCATTATATATGAGCAAATTCTGGGATAATGTGCTTCTATCGGAGAAGAAGGAGAAGGAGGAAAAGAAGGAGAAAAAGGAGGAGAAGAGCAAAAAGGAGAAAAAGAGGGAAAAGAAGAAGGAGGAATAAGAGGGAGGAGAAGAAGGAGAAGAAGGAAGAGGAGAAAAATAATAAAGAAAAGTGGCCACTTTCTTAGAGGTGGAACTTAAGTTTTTCATAGTTCCTTATGCCTGAGAACATAAGCAATTTCCTGCAGGGATCCATGCTGCAAAATGCTTTCTTTGATTTTCCTGAGCACTGGTCCTCACACACACTTTCTCTTTCCCCAGCTAGGTCTTCTGACTATGTTTTGAAAATCAGGTTATGCCAGGGCAAATGGGATGGTGCTTCAAATACTAGCCTATCTAGTCTTCTTCCAACTGCCCAAATCTCATGATACTGGTGAATCTGTGATGTGGTAAAGAATAGCTTTTTTCTCATCAACCTGGGACAGCATAGTTACCTGTCCCGAGGCTGAAAAGAACACTTGAGTTGAATATAATTTTAGCCAATGATTCTATAGTGTGATTGAATTTTTTTCCCTTACAGGAATGGCTCACTGCCAAGGAGTTGGCTGGGGGACATGACTTGTTGTTGCCATTAGGGAGCAGAATGAGTGAAACAACCAAATGTATCTTTAGAAATGCTCCAGCTCTGAATCCTAGAACATGTGAACATGTGTATGGCGAAACATTTTCATACTGGTACAATCCTACTGTTTTATCTGACTTAATAATGAAATTAGATTGGCTCTATTTTGTGATTAATCACTATTATTAGCCAATAGCATGAAAAAAGTGAACCGGAAATAATTGTAAATAAAGCAATGGTCACAATTCAAGACTCTAACTCTTTTCGATAGTAAAGAAGACAGAAGGCTAATTGCCTAATTTAGTTTTGGCAGATTGTACATTTTTCAGGCTAATTAAAAACTGAGTCAAGCAGCAATGAACCACTCAAGGTCTGTGGCACTTAGCCTTTAAAAAAAAAGTATGATGTGCCTTAAAAAATCTTGGTAAATAGAATTCAATTTACAATAATTAGTTAACATAACATGACAGTTTTCTAGGGAAAAAATTTCTACCCTTATTTTTTCTTAGCCTTAAAATGATGAATAAACATGGATGGCGATGGTGCTGTAAATTAGGCAACTTCTCTAAGAAGACTTGTACATTAATAATATCTAGTAGGACTTATAAATAGCAGCACATAAGTTAATCAGCTCCAAGCTTTGCCATCTTCAGATTTGGTTATATGTAGTACTAAGGTCACAAATGCGTAATTTTTAAAAGAAAAATTCCCCTATGTTTTACTCAGATCATAACAGAAAGTCTTTCTAATGCAGGCTTAAAACATTTTTATCTAGGCTTTGCAAAGCATTCATTTATTGGCTTCTAGAGTCATTCTGAAATGCACAATGAAGTGTATACACCAAAGGAAAGCAAGGAACGGGTTAGGCTCTGAGAGGTAGCATGCTAGCCACGTCTTTCATCTCTGTATGGTAAAATGGAATCAAAAGATGACCAAATAGAACTTTCTAATTCCACTTTAATGCCTTTTTACTTTTCTTAGGAAATCCCACACAACAGAAGAAAAAGACAGTAAAAAGAATTATATAGTATTTAACATAGTCCAGCTCTTGTGTTTAGTCTACATAGACAAAATCACCAAATAATTCTTCTCTCTTGGGAATTCTTATCTCCTGGGAATTAATAATCATTCAAATTAATTAGCAATCTAAGAATATTGTTTTTAAATGTCAGGAGCTCATATTAAGGAATAGTATTTTGAATTAATGAAATGCTAGGGCAGCCAGAGTGAAAGTTAAGTAACTTGACCGAGCTTTGTTGACACTGGGAGAATGTGGCTCTTGACAGAGCCCTTGAAATCACCTCGGCAATAACACTCAAAGACAGTTCACCTTCAATTTCTTACTTGAAGAAATAATGATTAAGAAATAATGATTAAGGTCATTATCAATGCCATCTGAAACAGTATATTTGATTTATACAGTTTGTTTTTTATTTCCACTGTTTATAATTTTTTATATGAAATAGTGGGGAAAATAAGAGACAGTATTAAGCATTTATTTGATCAAGGCACAATGAATAATTATACTTCATCATGTTTGAACCAGTCACCCTTCAAATGAAAAATAAAGTCACCCTTAAAATCATCTTTTTCTCCTGTGATCTGTTTCAAGTGTTTCCCATATCTCACTGAGAAAAAGTTTGGAAAAATAGTGATTATGAAAGCTTATTCTGCTTAGGTTGCCTTCCAGTTATGAAAACATTGTAGATTAAAGTTAATTTTATGAAAATAAACTGTGTTGCACATGTAGGTACATCTTTACTGTAAAATTTTCTATGGCAAGGATAGAAATGGAGATAGCTTTCTTTATGCTTAGGGAAGAACCATTTTTTATTTCTGAAAAGCATCTTTCCTACTGTGATAGGCACATTATACTTTTGAGTCATTCAATTGACATTAAACAAAGCGAGGGTAACACTTTACTTGAGAATGTAAGCTTTGAAGAAGGACTAGCACACATCTTTAGAGCAGTCCTTTGCTTATAAAAATGCTTAAGTCTATTCATAGACTGTCAGTATTACATGGAAGGAATTTAGACAGTTGGTAAGAATTGAGCCAAGCCACTTCTAATGTCATTTTTAAGCCTAAGATTCAAGTTTAAGTTTATAAAAAACAAAATTTAACTATTTAGTGATAGCATGGAAAAATAAAAAATTCTAGACATTAAAATTTATTATCAGTGAATTGCTATAACCATGTATGAGAAAGTCCCCAATCCAAAACTGATGGATAGGGAACCCCTCCAAAATATATTTAGATATAGATTTTTAAAAACTATATACTTATTAAATATTTACTAAAATATTTTAAAGTATAAAAATTATTTTAAAGTATATACATTTTATTATTTGTGGTTGGGCTTAGATGGTAGAATGCAGTGTTTCTCTTTTAATGAATAGATTTTGTTCTTAAAATGAAAGAGTATCTCATTCTAACAGCAAGGAATCCAATGCAATACATTTGGTAAAGTTTGACTTGTGTTGAGAAACAAGAACTCAATATTGCATTGCTCATTGGCATTTTGCTATTCATCTGTGACAAACTGACACACCTCTGGTGAGCAGGAGATTGCTCTATTTGCAGAGTCATTAAGAAAAAGAAAAGCATTTTGGAAAGCTTTGAATTACTTAAAAAAAGTAACCAGGGCTTTTGTTTTTCTTCAACTGGTTATATATTACAAATGTGTAGTTTGTTAAAAGAAAATCCCTCTAGTTCTAACAAAACATTTTGTTCTAGCTTTTGACATAGAATTTCAAATAGCAGGAGATACGTTGGATTTTAGTTGTTTTGACTAGGGAATGTCTGTCCTGAAGCACCAAGTTAAGTGAACTGGTCATGCAGAAATCTGGCCAAAGAGTCCCACAAGGAGTAGAAATCCTTTTATCCATTAAGGAAAGAACTGAAATTGTTCTCATCTCTGAGCCCTTTAAACACTGGCCTCTTAAAGAGGATGCCAATAAGAATTAGTCATGACTCAAACTAATGTAATTTTTAAAGGCTCTATCTAACTGGCTTCAATACACCTTAGCCTAATCTTCACCTTTAACAAAAAATCTCATTTCTTTTTTTCCCATTTGTAGTATCATAAATACTCACATTTTCTAATCCCAGAATGCAGGACTTATGGTCTAATACATGTTTGAAAAGAGACTAGAGTATGTAAAATTAGGATTATGCCTGAAAATCCAATTTTTAGAACAACCATAGTCAAAAATGAATGCTTATAGATTTGTGAAAGACATCTTGGCTTGAGCTCCAACTCAGGCATTACCCTTAAACCCTAATTCTGCAGAGATGTTTGTAAAACACTAACTAACATGGTCTAAGCTCATGTTGTGCTTTAATTAATAGTTGCTGGGTTATCTGTCAGGGTGAGAGAGGCAAGCATGATTGAGGATCACTGGGGATTTGGTCAAATTTGTCTAATTGCCCACTTATTGTACATCTTGTATTAATGAAATAAGGTTTAAGAAATTACGAGAAATTTTGAATGGAAAAGTAATTTTCAAAAGGGTGTGTTACAATTTTGGATGTGTGCAGAATTCCATCCCATTGGTCCTAGAGATAGCAAGAATTTGGAGAGTCAACAAATGCATGCATAAGGGCGTTAAATTTCCTTTTATGCCCCAAATACTCTCTTTTTCTCTTGTGTTGCTTCTAAGTGATGGATTGATGATGGCAAGAGGAAGCAGGTAGGGTTCTGCAGTACTGCATGGGGCTATATCTGAATGATAGCTTGTCTAGTCTTTTTTTCTATCAAAGACAATGCTGATTAGAGGTGCTGCTATTTACCAACCATCAGCTTTCAAATCCCTTCTCAGTACATTGATAGTCTGAGCACCCCAAATCCAAAAATATGCAATCCAAAATGCTCCTAACTTTTTGAGCAATGACATGCTACCACAGTGGAAAACTCAATACCTGCTCTCATGTAATGGGTAACAGTCAAAACACAGGAGCACTACAAATATTGTATAGAATTACTCTTAGGCTATGTTATAAAATGTATCTAAAAATGAATTTTATATTTGGACTTGGATCTCCTTGGTAAAATATCTTACTTTGTGTATAGAAACATCTCAAAAATTAAAACCTATGAAATCTTAAACTCTTGTGGGCCCAAGCATTTCTAGTAAGGGATAGTCAACCTGGGCTACCTGTCCCATTCATCCGATCATTTGTTCCCTTATCTGGAAGAGTGAAAATCTTACCTGACCTAAATATCCAATTCACCTTCCAAGATCACTTTTACAGTGCAATAGCTGGCAACAGGCTTATGGACACAAGTAAAGCCTTGAAGGACAAACTTAGAAGTTCACGACCCTGGATGGGGGAGCACAGCTGAAGCAGAAATTATAAATGTTTTCAGCTCATTTTCATTAGATAAATAGAAAAAGTACATGTTGGGAATATCTAGTGGGTTACTAGGAAAGCTTGCTTTGAAGGGAATATTAAATTTATGAATTTAACAAAGATATGTCTTTGTATCTCTAAACTGTGGAGCTTTTTAGCAGAGGTTCTAAAACTGCTTTTAATTAGATTTTTTAGTGTATCACAATTGAGGTTTGATTTAGTTTCAGTTTTTTGGGACTTTTTGGAAGAAGATATCATCAGATAAGCACAAGATTCTTAGATTAATTTAGCTCATAAAATAGAGCTGCCTCAAGGGAAAATTCTTTATTTTTTGTAATTCAATTGTATGGGCAGAATATTATCATGAGAACATTAGTCAAATCTATTATTTAGTAAATTTAATTGGCCAAATTTAGAATTAAAAAGGATATAGCTAAGATCTGTGCAAAGACTTCGAAGGATTGAAGTTTACCTTATTAGATTTAGACACCTATTTCAAATGGTACAGACTATTTTTGGTTTGCTTTTTAAAAAAAAAATAAGTAAAGCTTCTTAGATTACCTCATGGCCATTTGGCAGAAGTCCATTATAAGAACTAAAAAAAAAAAAGAGTGGATTCTATGTAGAGTAGCCAAATTCTTCCTGATGAGAACATGGGTGTCTTTTAACAAGATGTTCACCTAGGCATACTTCTCTTTTTTTCTTGATGCAAGAAAACATGGATAATATAAATTAATCTTAGAGAGTAAAGACAGACAGACCACTGCTTCATCGGGTAACTTGTTTTTACATTTACTACTTCTTGGAAGCACCCCCATAATACTCATCATTGGAACAGAAACACAATGTAAATGAATATCACTTATACTAAAATTCATACCTGTGGTTCTGCTTCTAAGTTGATTTTGAAAGGATGAGCTTTCCCATCTTCCGATACCTGTGGAGACCATAATCTAGTTTCTGCCCTGCAAATAAAACAAAGTTTGTAAACTCCAAATCCAAATGGCACTTTTAATTTTAGTATATTTTAACTTTTCATTATGTTTATGAAAAGACTAGCAACCCTCACCAATTTCATCAAAAGGAATACTTATTTTTTTGCTTATTAGTCTATATTTCTCCATCCAATCAGTCTTACATTTTTAGTGTCCTGTTAGGAAATCTAGAATAGATCAAGACTGCTTGATTATTGTACGGCTTCTGGAGAAAGCAGGCCTCCAAGGCATGTAGATAACAATAGAAAGGGAGATTCTGGAAGCACTTCCTGCAGATACCAGGGGAAAACTCTGTTTCCCCTCCCTGTCTTCCCTTGTATCCTATCCAGTCCACCATAGGAGATAAGGAGGATTAGCCAAGTGTCTTTGCTGTTGGCATCAAAGAACTGTCTTTTGTCCAACTCTTCTCATGCATCTATGTCTCCAACGGACTGTGTACCAGGCAGAGGCACACATTATGCAAAGATAGGAAAAAGAATCTATTTCAACAGGTGAAAATGGTGGATTAGCTAACTGATTGAGCCCTCAGTACTAGAGACAAGTGTGACTACAGAAGCAACAGGATAATCACGTAGAGACAACCTTACAACCAATTGTTATTTTCATTGTTCAGATTCTGGTTGGGGCTCTGATGACAAGAAAGTGGGTTCAAACCCACACCTTAAAATATTTTTCTGGGCTGAATTCTATCCAAAACAGCAAACAGAATATAGGATATTGGCAACCAATTTTAGCATGATCACATTTTGAAACGTCAAGAGATTCTTTTAAGACTGTCTACTTTCCATTTCATTCTATACCATAATAAGAATAGCAAGACAATAAGTCATCCTGTTTAGTATTTACATGGTCAATGACTATTTTCCTAGTCAATCAACTGGCTTCTAGAGGAAGAAGACAAATCTGATTGGCCTCTTTTCATTATTTTGACATTCTACAGAATTCTTTCTCTAAAAGGTTTAACAATAACTACCAGATTGATTGACTTCAGTGACAATAAGAATAAAGTAGCCAATATATTAAAAAGCCAGTTAAAATTCTAGGTCCTATGACATTCCTCATTAGGAGGATGAAAGCATTTGTAGTTCTGATTCAGGTTCTTCTGCAAAACAGATCAAATTTTAACCCCAGGAATTCAGAAGCACCTGTCAATTTTGAGACACAGCTGGTGTGATGCTGCTTTAATTCTGTCCTGTGCATCAGCATGAGTCATGGACTCTGTACCAAAGCCATCAATAGCCAGGATGACATCTCCAGGACACAGGTTGGCAGCTGCTGCCTTGCTTCCTGGAGTGATCTGGAAGAAATAAAGACACCATTTAAAAACCTTGTGATATCTTGAGTTTCGTGCCTGACATTTGTATTTCAGTTTGGTAACATTTTTAATGGTTCACTAGGTGGGAAAGGTTAAACATAAATTAAAATAAGTCTTAGTTTATCAATTGCGTAAATTCTGTCTTATCATCATGTGAAATAATTTTGTTTCTTACAAACCACATTTCATATACCATTGTATCTCTATTCTCTTCTAAAATGTTTTCCATAACTTCTCTTCTGAATCATATTTTCTTTGTTTTAAAGAAATAATCTTTTAAACTTTTTCTAATTCCCCAGAACTTTCTATTTGGCAGCAGAGTTTTACTACATTTAGGCGTTTAGGCAACTTCCAGATTTGAATTGAAACTGCTGTAGCAGCCTGATAATTTATCATCTTTAAAATTCACATGAGGGGAGTGCAATGGGCTGAATGTTTGTGTGTCTCCTCCAAACTCATACGTTGAAATCCTAACCCTCAATGTGACAGTATTTGGAAGTGGGGCCTTTGGGAACTTAATTAGGTCAGGAGTCTGGAGCTCTCATGAGTGAGATTAGCCCTTATAAAGAGAGATTCCAGAGAAAGCTCTCTCTTTGTTGTCTTTTCATCAGATGAGGTCTGCAATATGGAAAAGGATCCTCCCCATGACCAACCCACATCGGTATTCAAATTTTAGTTTTCTAGCTTCCAGAACTGAGGCTAGAACTGTGGTTTTAAAGTCACCCAGTCTGTTGTATCTTATGAGCCTAAACTAAGACATCTAGGGTGCAGAAATCTGGAGGACTCCCTTTTTTACTAACAACAAGAAGCCTAATAATACGTAAGTTTCTGACTTTTTCTTTAGAAAGCTGAAGTTGCAGGGAAGAAACTCTGACATACAAGGAAAGACAGGTGCCTTCAGGAAAAGACAAAGTATGAGCATGAATTACCTGTGACAGAAATGGAGGAGTAAGTGACCATTATACTAGATGTTAAGAAAAATTCAGCTAAAACAAAAAATCGCTAATGGTTGAGTGTGAGTTAGAGTGTACAGAATCCCTGGGGACCACCGACACAAGGGAAGTCTGTAATCACTCACCTTTTCTTCTCCATGAATGAGGAACAGATGCAATAAACAGAAACAACTAACAAGAATGTAGATTTCAATTAAATCATATCAGCAATCACATTAAATGTAAATGGTCTAGATATAACACAAAAAACAGAGATTGTCAAACTAGAGAAAAAGCAAGATCCGTTGTTTTACTGTCTATAAGAAACCATCATAATTTTTTGTGGGTGGGTGGGGAGGAGAGATGAAAGTAATACTTAAGGACATAAAGTTTCCATATTTTGAAATGTTTAATAATACAAAATGTGAGGCATTATGATGCTGAATATTCAGTTAAAATCAGCAATTTATTTAATTACTATTTGTACTCTCAGTTTTTCTGGGTAAATTTCAGCTGTTTACCTCTGCCTGGACCTCATATAGGCCTTTTTTCTGTTAATGCACTAAATCAACTTACACTATTCCTGTTTCCTTTCACCCACGGTTCAGTTGTCATTCTGATTTCCTTTTAATTCCTCAAGTAGAACAACCTCATGCCCTATCTGGAGTTTTGCATGTTATTTCTGCTTGAAATTCTTCCCCCCAATATTCACTGGTTGCTCTTTCTAATCCTTTAGGTCTAGGCTGATATGTTACATTTTCAGAGAGACTTTCCCAAAAATCTCAAGTGGTTTCCCTAGTCCCTCCCTTCATTATTCTGTATTTTTACATTGTGCTCATTTCCTTTATGAAGATTATTTGAACTTTGTTTATTTACTTGCGTAACTTCTGTCTTTCCAACCAGACTGGAAGCTCTTGGAAACATATTATATTATGGTCCCTGACTTATGATGGTTCAACTTGTGACTTTCAGCTTTACCATGGTGCAAAACTGATACCCATTCAGTAGGAATCATACTTTGAATTGTGATCTTTTCCTGGGGTAGTGATTTTTTGTTGTGATGCTGGGTGGTAGCAGCAAGCCACAGCTCCCAGTCAGTCACATGATCAGGAGGATAAACAACAAATACTGCAGAGTGCACTGTGTTGGTAAGCTATGATGTTTGGTAGATTAAATGTATTAAATACATTTTCAACTTACAATATTTTTAAATGGCTTTATTGGGATATTATCCCAACATAAGGAAAGGATCATCTGCATTTTTAATGTTTCATGGGGCTAATGCCAGTGTTTAAGAATTAATAAGTGATGATCTGAAGATTGAATGAAGAGGTCGTTTAAATCAGAGCTTAAAAAGCAAAAGAAGCTAGTTCCTACATACCTCAAAATGTCAACCTATCATTATTATGTTTGGAAGTTCCAAATATTTAGAGATAGGACTTGATTTAAATCTCATACTGCTCCAGGAAAAAAACTGTATAGTTTCCAATGCTTTATTTTAGGATCAGTTATTATTTCATCTCTTTCTCTACTTGCTTATTCTAGTTATCTACTCAATTTAACTTTATGACTCTGCAGCTCCAAGTTTATCTAAATAAGTAATAGTACTAAAATAATGGGTCATAAGTGTTCAGTCCAATGTTCACTGTACTCACTTTATTGCTGCTCATCTCATTGCAGTGGCTGCCATGATGTTCCAGGAGGAATATTTGATAGAAGGTGGGTGGAGCTGGGGATTTTTGTATCTTAGCTTTTGGGAGGTATTTTTGAGCTGTTTTCCACTTAGAAGTTCTCCCAGACCCAGATCTATTAGAAGCACAAAAGTTTCCATCCCCAGTGGAACTTGTAGGGATAAAAATAATCTTAAACTTTCAATTTTCTCTAGATATAATATGTCAAAGTCAACACTAGCTATCTTTAAACTTCTAAGACCAGGATGCTTTTCTGTGGGTTAAAACATGAGAAACTGTTGCTCAATGTGTTTGGTTTTAAAGCCTTTCTTAGGTTTACTAATACACTTAAATGGATTTGAGTTGTATGACACTCAATCCTGATTTAGAAAAACTTAACTTTTTTTTTTAGCTTTGGTTAGATGAGTGGAAGGTAGGGTTTTACTGTTTTAAGCAGAGATACCAGAACTTAGACAGTGAGCAAAGTAATGGATTTGAGGATATATATCGAATACTTCAGATATATTAAATATTGAATATTACTAAAGTTTATTAACTGTACTAATACTAAATGAAGGATTCCAACGTACATTTATGCAAACTGTTACATTTGCAAAGCCTTTCCCCATACTTTTAACTATTTCAACAACTCTCGTGCTGGACAGATTGGACCGTCTCTATTTTTTCAAAGAGGAGAGGCATATAAATAATCTGTGGCTTCGTGGTAAGCTGGGAGCATCAGTCTAACTACATCACCAGGTGTTTCAGAAGCCATTGATGGGTAGAACCCATCTCTGACTTTTCATTCATCCTGGTAATTGCTGTTCTTGGGTCTCCACAGAGGGAAGATGAAGAAGAAAAAAGCACATAGAGAAAAAAAGGAAACAAATATGGTGCCTTTTCTTTTGTCTGTTTTTCCAGCTCCTCTAGGCTGGTGATCAGAAAACGACTGCTGAATTGTCCTGGTTTTTGTAAGTTAAACTGTTTGTTAGAACATAAGACTCAGATATATAGTTAATATGTTTGTTAGAACATATTTCCCAGAATTACTTTTTACTATCACGTTATTATGTTATAATATTCTCACATTGTTTTAGTACTTCATATTATTGCTCACAGTTTATTGTTACTGGTTTCCCAAATGAAGAGAAGAGGGAGATGAAATGAGGCAAAGAGTTTTTCAATGGATTATTTTCAGGTTCACTATGGTCTTGAATATTGAAAGTGCTAGAGAGATAATTGGATGTAGTACTGCAATTAGTCACTCAGAACCATGTTTTCAAATATAACTGATTACAAGAATCACCTGGGGTCCTTGTTGAACATAAAGACTCCATTCTATTCCAGATGTCTGGAACCACAAATCAGAATCTCTAGGAGAGGAGCCAGGGAATTTGTGTTAACAAATGCCTTGGATGATTTCTGTTATTCACATTAACCTATTGCTTGGCTCTATTTGGGGGGAAAATCTAACTCAAGACACAGATAAAGCATATATATCTTATTTACAATGGGAGACACAAGAGAAGTCCAAGATGTGTCTCTAATATGATTCTGATATTACAAATGGAAATGGGGCTGGGTGCAGTGGTGCATGCATATAGTCTCAATGACTTGACAGGCTGAGGTAGAAGAGTACCTTCAGCCCAACAGTTCAAGACCAGCCTGGGTAACACAGTGAAACATCACCTCAAAAAAGAAAAAAAAAAAGGAGAAAATTGATCACAATTACAGAGCAAGACAAGTATATGTGGAAAGGCTGCACAGAGGCATGGATCAAAGCCCATTGTTTGGTTGCTCTCCATTGCCTACCAAATACACCTCACACACCTCGCCTGGCAACTAAAGCCCCCCAGCATCTGGTTGCAATCGACATTTCTAGAGACATACCTCATGTCAGTTACAGAAGAACCTCTGACCTAGGCGTGGGTATTTTCAAAAGTTATCTGGGTGATTCTAATGTGCAGTCTGGCTTGAGAACTGTTCTTTTATTGTTATAATAATAACAATATTGAGGACTGTTATCTCACTTAATTCATAAGACAATCTTACAAAATAATTATGTCTATTTTAGATAAGAAACCTGATGTTCATGAAGTATAAGAAAATTGCTTAGGGTTGTACACCCAGTAAAAATATGACGTTTCCATGTGGGTCTGTTTCACTTTATAGCCCATGGTGCTTCTGTAGGTAATCTCTCTCCTGCCTCCTTTTGTGTCTTTAGCCATACTTTTCTGGTGGAATCCTGGATGGATTGTGACTGTTCCTTCTCTCCCACTGACGTGAGCTTCTCAGAGGGTAGAAATCCATCTAAATTATAATAGTATTCCATAGTGCCTTTCACATAAAAGCCATTTTGCACATCATAGATATGTGTGGGATGTACGAATGTCATGAACAATGGGCCAGAGCTTCTATGTAGACACAGTCCTTGTTAGCACAAAACAATATGTCTTAATTCATATCAATCTTCCTTCTACATTTATTTTAGCCTAGAAAAGGATTGCATCCAACTGTAAACATGCCTTTCTAAAAGTTTATTTCAAATACAGTTTATATTAAAGCAATATACTTTTCTATGTTAAAGCCTGAGAAAATTAAGGACACACTAATTCTCTGTGTGGGTAGTCCAAGTCCACATAGCATTCCTGGTTATAATGATCTCACTCCTGGGTGTGCTCCAAATAAAGAGAAGGGAGGAGTGAAGCGGGGAGGAGGAAGTGGGTGAGAAGGACATACTAACATCAGCTGTATGCATTCATTTTGGTTATGTACACAACAGAAATCTGTGCTGTATTCCACATTGGAATTTTGCAAAAGCCATCTACTACTTGTCTGTGTGAGTAGATCCACTTTCTGGACAGTTAAAAAACCTTAGAGAAGGCCTGGCACAGTGGTTTATGCCTGTAATCTCAGCTACTAAGGAGATGGAGATTAGGAAGATTACAATTTGAGGCCAGCCTAAACAAAAAAGTTATCGCAATCCCATCTCAATCAACGAGCTGAGCACAGAATATACCTGTCATATCAGCTACATGGGAAGCTTAAGTAGGGCGATCGTGGTCCAGGTTGGCCTGGGCAAAAAACAGAAGACCCTATCTGAAAAATAACCAAAGACAAAAGGAAAGGGGTCCTGGTTCAAGTGGTAGAGTACCTGCCTAGCAGGTGTGAAGCTCTCAGTTCAAATCCCACTACCACCAACACCAAAGACAAACAGTAACAAAACTTTTGAGAGAGACTCCTTAGAATATTCTTGCAAGAAAAACAAAAGAAGATGTGAACCTTAAGCATTATTCTGTGAAATATTTCAAACAATTACATATGGTATTTGAAAACCACCCCTTCCCTTAAACTGAACACTCAGACTTAAATTTTATCTTGCACAAAGTATACCACACTTTTTGTCTAGAAACTATTGGTATCTGGTGTTTGATTTACCTGCCTTTTGTTGTATGTGGTTTTCAAATTATACCAAGATTCACACCACTGACTAACTGGTTTAGAGTAGTTATGGGACAGAGACCCTTTATCTTAATTTTTTGAGCTGCAATGGCAGTTGATGGAAAGAGGTACATTTGTCACTTTCCCACAAACTCTGGGTAGAGCTCCATTGTCTGGAACATTTGATATATAGATGCTCCTGGTGTTATGGTGGAGATGTGTCCCAGTAAACCCCAGGTTCTTTTTGCAGCTGAAAATATTGTTAAGTCAAAATTACATTTAATATACCCAGCTTAGTGAGCACCACAGTGTAGTACACTGTAGAGTCTTGGCTGTTTTCCCTCATGATCACATGGCTGACTTTGAGTTGTGGCTCACTGATACTGCCTGCCCTTTGCTAAGCCCAGGAAAAGATCATGTTCAAAATTCCAAGTATGCGCTAGACTGAATGTGTTATTACTCTCACATCATTGTAAAGTAGCACTGTCACTAGTTGGGTAGCCTGCATTTGCATAGCACAGGGCCGGAAGAGAAAAGTGTGACTTGTAGGATGGAAACAGATTTAATTGATTTGAGGAAATGCATCTCATTTGTGGCACTTTTTGTGACTTTTAGTGTGGACATCAGTATTTCATTTCTTCATATGCTTATTTAAAATAGACAACTAACAAAAAATTCTCATTTGTCTTTCTTATGGAATATTTTGGGAATACAATCTGTACTTATTTATGCCTATAAAGTTATTATAAAGTGAGCAGTTTAGTGAATCATTCATATTGTGTCTATATTTATTCTATAACATACACGACATGCTAGACATTGTGCTAGGCCTCAGTGACCCCCAAAGTAGAAAGGTCATGTCTCCCCAGGAGTATGCAATCTGGAGGGATATGGTTATGCTTAAGCCTCTGCAGTACAAGCATGGCAATAAAGAGAGGCATTAGGCAATGGATGAAATGACGATTTCTGGAAGAAGGCTTGGAGAGTACTATTTGAATGGGTTTCCACAGGCATTGAGGACAGTGGGGTTGGACTGAGAAAAAGAATTCTGGGGGAAAATGAGGTATACCAGAAGCAAAGACACTAAGGAAATTATAAGTAGCCCAAGGTAGTAGCACTGCTGTCCATGTTTGGAGAGGAAGAAAGGGGGAGAGAAGGAAGAGGGAGGGAAGAAATGAAGTTGGAGTAGATGGTGAAAAGACATGAGTGCCACACTAAACATCACAAATTTCATTCTCTTAAGCTGGTGATGCCACTGGGGAATTTTAAAGAATATAGGAAAACCCTGCATTTTCCAAACACGGATGATAAGAATATGCAGGGTGAATTGGAGAGAGGAGATAAAGGTCTAGGTGTGAACTCAGAAAACCTCATATAAAGACACTGGGTGAAAAAAAAAGGAAAGAGGTAGAACTTGAAGATGTGGAATCGATGGGGCTTGTGACACATTAGATGGCAGAAAACGCCTATGTAGAACATCTGAACAGTAAGAAAGTGGGATTTTTCACATGTGTGGGCTTTAGAGTACAGGTAGACCTGACACCAAATCCTGTTTCACCACTGTGATCAATGGCAGGTTATTGAGCCTCTTGGAGCCTCATTCATCTCATCTGCTAAAGGGGATCCTACTACTACTTTTCCCATGGGATTATGTGAGCTTCAAGGGAGTCGGTGAATAGTAAGGGCTGAGAAAAATGTTTGACAAGCAAAAGAGAAAACAACACACTCACAACAGGATTCACCACTTTGTAAAACAATATAAAAATTCTAGAACAATCCTATTACCCAATAACAACTGATTGTCTTTGAGTAATGCCTTTGTTTAGTTTTTAAAAATGATTTTCAGTATTCTTATCATTTCAGTGGAAATATTCTTATCTAGGTGCTCACTAAGGCATAGAAGTTCAAGTGAACATGCATCACTTTATTTAACAAGAATCTACGATAGGAACAGCTTTAGGACTTTGGGATACAAGACAATTCAGTTCTATCTGCTCTCCTGGAGTTAAAATAATTGAAAATGAATACTCAAATGAAATAATTGTGTCTAGTCACACTCTGTTATTGAATCAAATGTCAAAATTGAAGTACAAACTAGATACAAGCTATGAATAGGCTTCTCAGAAAATAACTGCCATTATATAAAAAAATTCACCAACAGCTTTTGTAGTCTGACTGCAGATGTAAGTATTGCTTTAAAATAAACATTGCTTCTAATGTCAACTCAAAATTTCAGACATGATTAATTATACTGACATGTTACATAATAGTAGCAAAATGTTTCTTTTATAAATTCTCCAAAGGGTTTTGTGACATAATTATTTAAGGATTAATCTAAATATTATTTATTCTTTGCTATGATTCAAAAGCTTATTTCATTTACAATAAGCAAAACATACTTATTTCCATAAACCAAACATATTTCTTAGTAGAGATAATGGAAACTGTTTTGTTTGGTAAATCTGTAAAAGGAATTAGCTTGGCTCTGATCACAGAAGCATTTTCTGACTAATTTACTTAGGAACATTTTGGGGGGTATGTTAACTTTTCATGTCTCATATAAAAACACATGTCAGATGTGTTTATATGTTTTTGAAAAATGTGAAATAAAGCTTAAAATGATCCATTGTATAATCTGTATGATACATGTTTTGAGATATTTTGAAAGGACATTTGTTCCCAAATGTCATATACATAAATAGAACAGAATTTAAAAGGTTTGCCATCTTCAAAATCTGTGAGTGATCAGATTATAAAGTATACATTTATAAGATACAGTATAAGCAGTGGGAAAAAAGTAAAGTACTACATTTGGAAAATAAGAGTATAATATTCTGAAAGTTTATGCTTTTAAATTAGGTTTAAAATGGTTTATATGTGGGAATTGAAATAATTGCTTTTGTAGTAAGAGAAATACTTATGTTAGAAAAAAAAACGCAACTAGATCAAATAATGCTTTAGGATTAATCCTAGAAATTTACTGACAAGAAAGAAAGCCTGAGGTTTCATTTTTTGCTTTTCCTTTTCTCTAATTGGCTAGCACTTTAGAGAAGATTAAGGAAAAGTTTGACGTTGCTATCAAAGTATTATTTTTAGAGTTATTAGTCTGCGTGGTGCTTTCCATTGGGTAAACTAAACTATCTGACAGGTTTTCTTTGTAGTTTGAATTATAGGTAATGATTCCCAAGCCAAGTTCTCAGCTTTGGAAAATATTTATTCAAAATGCCTGGAAACCCAGGAATACACATCAGCAATATTTTCCCTGTCTGGGCTGATATGAGTGTCTCCAACTTGGCCATCTCAGGTTGTGCCCTGCGAACAGCGCCTTGCTGAAGTTTTCACCCAGACTCTGATGCGCGTCTAGCTCCAAGAAATAACCGGGGTTGCGGGTTGAGGGGTGGGGAGCAGTGGTTCGCCTCTCCTGCTGTGGGGGACCCTCATCTGCTGGTTACTGAAGGGAGGTGGGATGCGGGGAGCGAGAAGCACTACCCCTCCCTCCCGCCCCCAAGCTCGCCTTCTCAGAGCACAGGGAAATCGAGCTGACAGTTGGGATCAAGTGGATCCCAGCTGACTTTCGGGCAAACAACTTTGGGGCTGACTTCCTTACATCTCAAAACTGCTTTGCATCCTCCAAACCTCAACCTGCCAAACTGCTACTGCCCACTTGGGAGCCAGAAGCCCAGGACCCACCAGTGCCAGATTCTGCCCTCTCTCCTGGACTCCCTGGCCACTCTGAGCGACAGGGGCGCTCCCAGGAGTGACACCCGAATCCCTGACTTGTAGCAAAAGCAAGAATGGCAAATACCTACCCTGGTGATGACCAAAGGCTGGTTGAAGTCTACGCCCCCCGAGAGTCTGAAGCCCCAGGGCGCAGGGCCCGGGAGGATCACGTTCTGGGGCATGGTGCCTTTTGGGGTGGCCTTCCAAGGGCGGGGTCTCGTGGCTCCCTGGGTGTGGGGCGCAGCGAGGGTTGGCTCTGCCCCCGCGATTGATTGTCCGGGATCGCGACCCTGCACTCGGCTCTGCGGGCAGCTTTATCCCCGCTGCGGGGTGACGTCACGGTCCCCCGGCCCTCGCCCCTCCCCCGGGGCGCTCCAACTTTGGAGGCGAGAGCGCGCGCCCGGAGTCACCGCGACCGCCCGCCGGGTGCAGCGCGGAGCTCGCGGGACCCGCGCCCAGGCGTCGGGTTACAGCTGCAGTGTCTCTTAAAGTAACACCTGTCCTGCGGGTCCTCTCCCTGGAGCTCAGCCGGACACTTTACTGGAAGTTAAAGCAGGCAAGACGCAGGCCGCATGCTTTCAATTAAAACACAACGCAGGCCCATCAATGCAATTCATTATTTAAGCAGTTTTGAGTGTGTTAATATTTATTTCCTAGTTATGTGACCTTGGCCAAGTTACTTAACGTCCTTAAACCTTAGGAAAATAGGGGCAATTATTTTACCTATTTTATAGGATGACTGTGAGGGTTATGAGAATTAAATGAGCGGTGGTGCCCAGCTCGGCATAGATGCTAGATAAATATTAAGCATTTCTGCAATTAAAATATATGTACACGCTCATATCTATTTATGGATATCTGTAATATACAGTAACACACTTATAAATAAATGTGAATTTAATGTTTTAAAGCAAAGGAATCTAAAAGTGAAGATGTTGGGCAAACATAATGTCCAACCCAAAGAACCATCTAGAAGTACGTGTAAACGGATGATTAATCAATACATTCAAAGTATAAATAGAAATAATTTTGAGTAGACCAATTGTCACTTCCCTCAAATTCTGTCTGTAAAAATGTTTTGACACATGGGAGGCAGGGGTAACAATAACCTAGGAGTTGAAGCTGGAGCAGTGTGGATGCTGCAGGAATGAGGGTACCCAGGAGACTGTGAGTAAAAGGGACCAGGGTACAAGAAATCAAATTGTAGAGGAAAAGGAAGGGGATGAGTGACCACTGATCACCTCTGTGGTCCAGGTGCTATAGTGATTGTTTTACAAGTGTGCTCTTAGTTCAGAAAAAATTAGGCAAGTTATCTGATGTCATAGTCATTGTTTATACCATACCTTATGAACTGGCTTATAGAGTCACTTGGTTTTATGATACTTTTTCTTTGCCTTTTTACTGGTCATTTTGGCATTATTTAGATGTAGGAATCATTTAGATGTAGGAATCAGCTATACAACATCGATATAATACCTGATGAGTTCTTAAGGCTTGACAGAGAGCGAGGAAAGCAGGGACAGAAAATGGGCAGATTTCCTGTGTCCTGTGTTCACCAAAGTCTACAGGAAAGTGACCAGAGATTACTTTCAAGGTAGGGCTGAGAGTAGTTGTCAGGGAATGTTCTAAGGAGACACGCTGGTCCCATCCCAGTGACTCCTGAGAGTCCTGCTTTGGTTTGGGAATTGTACTGAGAATAGATTCTTTTTTATGGATCTTCCATTTCTTTTCTTTCTTTCTTTCTTTCTTTCTTTCTTTCTTTCTTTCTTTCTTTCTTTCTTTCTTTCTTTCTTTCTTTCTTTCTTTCTTTCTTTCTTTCTTTCTTTCTTTCTTTCTTTCTTTCTTTCTTTCTTTCTTTCCTCTTTCCTTTCTTCCTTCCTTCCTTCCCTCCTTTCTTTTCTTCCTTCTTTCTTTCCTGTCTCTCTCTTTCTCTCTCTGTCTCTTTCTCTCTCTCTCTTTCTTTTTCTTTCTCTCTTTAACTCAGGGCTTCTGGCTTGCTAGGCAAATGCTCTACCACGTGAGCAACACCCTAACCCTTTTTTGCTTTAGTTGGTTTTCATTAAGGTCTCACTCTTTTTGCCTAGGACCATCCTCAGACCCTACACCTCCTATCTACACCTCCCGCATAGCTGGGATTATAGACATGTGTTGGGGTCTTGCTAATTTTTTCCTGTGCTGCCCTGGAACTGTGATCCTCCTGATCTCTACCCCCTGAGCAGCTAGGATCACAGTTATGAGACACTGAACCTAGCTTTTACTCCCTTTTAAAAGGAGACAGTGGGCAGTGTGTTATACAGTGATGGGAATGGTGTCAAGGAAAGCTCTGGGAAGAATGGATGTTAGAGCAGAATTGTTAGTTGGATATTGAAGGGTAAGAGTTTTCCAGGTGGCTGGAATTGGAGATGAGCAAGGAGAGGAAATATTCAAGGTAGAAATAACTGCATTGGGTGTGTACAGGGAGGCAAGAAACAAATGGTAAATCAGGAAGCAGGGTGGAGACAGGGGACAAAGGCCAAGGTCATCAGGGACCATGTGAGAGGGGGTTCTTTATTGTCCACTAACATTTTGAGTTTATTCTATCAGGAGTGATAGGTATATTAATCAAATTTGCATTTATAAGCATCGTTCTGGGAGGTGTTGGATGAATCACAGTTGACGGAGATAGGAAGCAGGGAGTCCAGTTAAAACTCAATGCAGCCATTCAGGGGAAGATGTTATTGGGGCAGAGGGAGTGAAGAAGAGTGGGGAGATACAGGAATTATTAATTCATTGGCACATTGAGATTGGGGTAAATCTCACATAGGAGATTAGGGAGAAATTATGAGATATGGGTGGCTCTCAGACTTCTACGTTGGGCTTTACATGATTGGTGGACTTAGCAACAAGGAGAAAGTATGTAAGTACAGTGAGACATTTTTGTGGAATAGAGCCCTGTTTTGACTGTAGTGATTTGAGATGCTCAAAGAATATCTGTGCCATGTAGAGCTCTGGCTGAAAGAGTAAAATTTGGAGACAGATTGCCTGGGTCAGAGTTAGTTCCATTCTACTTCCTGGGTGTTCTTACCACACATTGCTTAACATCTTTGTTACAATGGTGATGATAGGCATAGAAAGACAAATACCACATTTCCTCACTTACATGTGGAAACTAAATAGGTTGATCTCACAGAAGCAGAGAATAAGATAGGATAGAGAGAAGCTGGTGATTGGGTACAAAATACAATTAGATAGAATAAGTTCTAGTGTTCTATGACACAGTAGGATGACGTTTTTTTTTTTTTTTGAATTGAATATTTTATTTTTTTTTTTTTCATTTTTCTTTTATTATTCATATGTGCATACAAGGCTTGGTTTATTTCTCCCCCCTGCCCCCACCCCCTCCCTTACCACCCACTCCACCCCCTCCCGCTCTCCCCCTCAATACCCAGCAGAAACTATTTTGCCCTTATCTCTAATTTTGTTGTAGAGAGAGTATAAGCAATAATAGGAAGGAACAAGGGGTTTTGCTGGTTGAGATAAGGATAGCTATATAGGGCATTGACTCACATTGATTTCCTGTGCGTGGGTGTTACCTTCTAGGTTAATTCTTTTTAATCTAACCTTTTCTCTAGTTCCTGGTCCCCTTTTCCTATTGGCCTCAGTTGCTTTAAGGTATCTGCTTTAGTTTCTCTGCATTAAGGGCAACAAATGCTAGCTAGTTTTTTAGGTGTCTTACCTATCCTCACCCCTCCCTTGTGTGCTCTCGCTTTTATCATGTGCTCATAGTCCAATCCCCTTGTTGTGTTTGCCCTTGATCTAATGTCCACATATGAGGGAGAACATACGATTTTTGGTCTTTTGAGCCAGGCTAACCTCACTCAGAATGATGTTCTCCAATTCCATCCATTTACCAGCGAATGATAACATTTCGTTCTTCTTCATGGCTGCATAAAATTCCATTGTGTATAGATACCACATTTTCTTAATCCATTCGTCAGTGCTGGGGCATCTTGGCTGTTTCCATAACTTGGCTATTGTGAATAGTGCCGCAATAAACATGGATGTGCAGGTGCCTCTGGAGTAACAGTCTTTTGGGTATATCCCCAAGAGTGGTATTGCTGGATCAAATGGTAGATCGATGTCCAGCTTTTTAAGTAGCCTAGGGTGATGATTTTTAATAATAGTTTATTGTACACTTCAAAATAGCTAGATGAAAAAATTTTGAATGCTCTGAACACAAAAATTGATAAATGTTTGAGATGGTGGGTAGGGATATGGATTTGATTATTACACATTGCATACGTGTATTGAAATATCACACTGTACTGTGTAAATTGTATAATTATTATGTGTCAATTAAAAGTAACTTAAGAACATTAAAAATGGAAATTCCTAGAGTTCTTGTGAAGTTTATATCAGATACTTAGAACTATGCCTGGCACATATAAGTATTAGAATCACCTGCTATTGTTATTATTATTATTATTAATGGTAGTACAGTAAGAAATTGGATAAATGAACGTAGAGCTGGGCTTGAGATGAATATGTTGAAGCTATACTAGAACCCGTGCTTGCCAATGATAGGTGGCTTTTAGAAAGTGGTTGCAAATCAGTTGATATCTTTCAATTCAAAAGGTGAAGTGTATGTCCTCTCCACTTGAACTTGCATAGATGTATGACTCTTCTTTTTTCCTTTGTTGTTGTGCTGGATGGGGGTACACTGTGGAATTTATGAAGGTTCTTATAATGTATCAAATATATCCTAATTGAATTTACCCCTCCACAACTTTCATGTATCTCCCTGCCCCCAGTTCATGGAATAGTTACAATAAGTATCATTTTTGTATTTACATACATGTGTACACATTTTTTGCACTGTATTCACCCTCCTGACCCTTTTCCTTGCCACCTCCTTCTTTCTGCTGGTACCAGCCCTCCCCCTCTGGGCAGGACCTATTCTGCCCTCTTGTTCTCTGATTTTGAAGAAAAAAAAAGAGAAAAGATAAAAAGAAAAACATGACATTTTTGCTTGTTTGAGATAAAGGTGGCTACACAGGGAGTTTCCTTGTGATATTTCCATGTATATATGTGTTATAATCCCAATTGGTTTATCACCTCTAATTTTCTTTATTCTACTTTAGTTCCTTTATTGTGGTAGTTTTAATTGGTTTAAGATTTCTATATTCATTCTGGTACAGAGAGTAGATGAACCATATTCAAGTTCTTAGTTTCCTTCTTTTACCCTACCCTTGGCTCTTATGCTACCAATGAAATGACATGAGAGTGACACTGTGTGACTTCTAAGGCCAGGTCAGAAAAGACAAT